CGTTCTTGACGTACAGTGGGGTGTACGATATTAACGTACGAACTGGGAATCCACACGGTACAGTAAGAAGGAGCAAAATGAGTCATTATTTTTGCATGTATTAACATGATATCACTACCTCATTATGACTATTAATAAAAAATGATTTACCGTATTTTGCGGTATATAAGCACCCTTTTTGCACTTAATGCCGGCCAAGATCCTCAATTCTGGCAAAAATCGGCATAATTTTTGGCCAGGGTGCTTATTTTCGAACCGCACCATACAGTATATCGTTTGCATAAGTAAATTCTCATATAAAGTATGATAATATTTATAAAGATCGTGAATCACAGTCAAATCATATAATTTGCAATATACTGTAAAATTAAATATAAGTTATGCAAGTGTATGTAGTTGTATTAGTAAATCTGAAAATCAATCATCATTTACCAGTTCATAATTGATTGAACGGGATATTTGGTCATAAATTTTGCGAGTAGACAAAAATACTGACCTAATGTTTATCAATCAAACCAACTTAAAATTGAACTTTGATCATGAGATTAGTGTAACCCGACCAAAAAAGAACAATTATGAACTGGCCTACTGTCACTATGATCAGTATGATGTAATATTGTCAGAGCATTTTAATATTACTAATAAATGTGGTAAATAAGTATATTAATAATAAAAGAAAGTTAATTTTGCTTTATTTTTACTATTACTTATTTAATATTTGTATTACAAAGTGATGGCTATGACTCAAAATATTTAATAATCTAATTCAGATTTTACAATCCACTCCTTAACACCATCAATAATACTATTTGCCTCATGTAACTTGCTTTCCAACCATTCAATATCTGCTTCCTTATGTTTAACTGAATTCTCAGTTATCGATAATGATTCTAATGCCAATTTGATATTTTCATTGTAGATGCATCTAAAAAAAATTCATTGAATTTAGATTAGTATAATAAAAAAAAATAATAGTGTATAGCACTGGCCTATATAAATCACTGTAAAGTAAATACAAACTTTAGTTCTTCCTTCAGGTCCAAACAAATTTCAAGCTCTTCCTCATCTGTCAAGCGATTTCTGATCATTTTTTGCAACTTATTATCAATTTTATCCAATTTGTTCTGCAACTTAGTCAGTTCTAGAATTATATCTACCATCGAACCTTTCAAGAGCATATTATACTTGCATACTATTTTTTTTCCTTTCTGCTTTATAGCAATCTCCCAATAAGATGCATTCTGGCAAAAATCCTTTATATCATAGTAAATCTTATCCAAAGTCGAGTTGCGACCAATTTGATGAGATTTCTTTTGATTATATACTTGGCAGAACCAAGTTTGGATTTTTTTAGCTGCTTCTTTAGCTTCAGCGGAATTATAGATCTTTCTGAGCCATTCTTGAATTTCTACAGAAAATTGATTACTATTTTCGTCTTCATTGTCATCATTATTAACGGACATTAGACTAGTGTTTTGCTCAGCTCTTTGTAGTGGAACTTGTTTTTCTGATATTGTAGTAGCAGTGACTCTTTTCTCAATAGCTATTGGAGATTTGATCTGTCGAAGTGCTGAACGAAATCCTTTAATAGAATTATATGTTAGTTTTACAATCTTTTCTGAATTATAAATTTTTGGCGTGGCTCCTTGTTGATATTGGACGAAAACTAAAGAATCACAACCAGTCTCTTTGAGGTCATTGTGCAAAAATATCTTAAGGTCTGCTGTTGCATTGATTTCCAAGTACTTTATGAGTTTTATAGAATAAACGTCTTTACTCAGACACTTAAAAAATTTTGTAATTTTTGGCATAATGGTAGATTCATTCAAGCCAATGAGGACTAAAAGCCGTATTAAGCAAAGGATAATTGTTAAATAAACATTTTCCTTATAAAGTAGTTGATTAATTAGCTGCTGTATTTGATTGAAGGATTTCTCAAGTTCAGACGGATATTTTTTTCTATATGAAGCATATCTATGATCTGGTATGAGTGGCTTCACGGTAAATGTATCAAAATAATTAATCAGGTAAGATCTAGGAATGTAAAAATTGTAATGTTTGGAGCCATTTGCAAAAACCAAAGCTGTTGTGAACTCCATGAGAGAAACAAGGTCACTAAAAGCACCAGTTGTAATATTACCAAAATCATCATATGTAATCATATTAACTTTATCGGCCTTGTTTATGGCATAATTAATAAATTCCCTTGCGTTTGTGATTGCAGGGATCACCTGATCAGAATAGAGACAAGAAAAGAACTGTGAAAGTCTATTTCCTACTGGAATCGCATTTTGGTTATTTCCATTATAATACTCAAACCTGACCGATAATTCATCAGGATGTGCAAGGTTTTTAATCTTTTTCATCTCCCAATTGAACTTATTAATACCCCATTTGTAATATAGTTGTTGAAAAATAAACACACACTTTAACATGACTTCAAAGTTATTGGGATTCTCAAAGATATCAAACAACCATATTTTGTAAGCCAAATTAATAAATCCGTTACGCGTTTGTTTAGGAAGTTCATTAAGCACCATGTTAGTAACTTCCGGACAGCTCGTCTGCGGTGATTGATAACGTATATGAATTTTAACTAGTCTTTCAGCCCACCATCTTTGTGCACCAAGAACTTGTTCACTTTGTTCTTCTTTAAGGAGTCTACGATGGTAAAATATATCTAACTGTCGCATAACGGTGTACTGCAAACATGCAAGTTTTAGACGTTTATGCAAAACTGATGGTGTTGGAACCACATGATGATATCTGCAATTTGATTTTTGACAGGATGTATATTTATAACAGATATGAATACCTATATCTGGAATATCTCTACCATCCTGACCAGCCTTTAATATACACTTGAAGATATATTCGACAAGGAACTGCAAAATTGCCTTGTGCACATCAAACACATTACAAACTTGCCAATTGTCCATGTTTTCTGATGCATCTCCAATATTAATAAGATAGACAAGTGGATTCTTGAGATGAATTTTACGTTTCTGCTGACGATCATCTACTTTGATTACAGAAAAAATTTCTTCAAAGTTCATATGTGTACTACTGATGTTTATAACTTTTTGAGGTTGGGTCATAATATTTATATATGAAAAGGAGATTTCACACAACCTTAACAGATATTGCAATCGGTTATGCCAATATTCAGCTTGAATATGTGATTGCGGACGAATTTGTAGCCACACATACACTGCATAAAATTCAGCAACAAATTCTTTGCGAGCTCTGAAAAATTGTATACATTCATGAACTTTACTGAAATTCTTGTTTAAGTAAGCGAGATATAATTCAAATTCTTCTATCAGGTTCATCCACTGGACAGTTTTTTTTAGTGATTTTGATGATTTTGATTTTATTTCAGCTATGAAATTTGGAAGGTTGTCCAACTCCTTTGTACTTTGATCAAATGCATTTTTTAGTAAAGTGATTCTACATAAGTGCAAAAAGCATTTTAAAGACTCAATAACATTCTCATCATTAATTGAACGAATGAACATATAAGCAGCTTCTTCAAATCTACCACGTAATTGTAGATGTTTGGCGGCATCACGAAATTGTTTATTCTTAACATAAAACTCTAGAAGCTCTTCAAATGCATGCTCCTTCAGGAACTCAATTTTTTCCTTTTTTTTTGTAAAAAGCAAAAGTGCCTTTTCACTCATCTCTTTATTGTTCTCTCGACGATAAAAGATGTTGATCAAACGAATAACGCGACGGGAAATTTTCTCGTCAATTTTCTGTCTATGACTTTATGATATTTTAACGTTAATTATTGTATAGCATTTACAGAGTAAACATAGATTGTCATGAAATAGGCTTGCTTATCTTTTTATCAAATTAATTATTTTTCTATAACTACCACCTTTTTTATAAACATTAACGGCATCAGTATATCGCTCTAACTCTTCATATAATTTTCCTGCATCATCCCACATTTTAGCTTTTATGTAACACTGCACAGCAGGCTCATACATTTTCCCTTTGACATAACGATGACCCGCTTCTTTATACATGTGAATATCCTAATTATTTATAAAATAGATATATTTAAGATAATTTTAATGCTTATTAATAGAGTCAGAATCAAAGTCTTACCTCATAGCATAAAGCTGCTTTAATAGGCCGAGAACATTCATCAAATGCCTCAGCGGCAGCTGTAAACTTTTGTTTTACTATTTTGTCATCAGAACCATTTACAAAGGAAGTCCTAGCAACATTCCGAAGATGATATGATTGAGCTAATTTACAACCAACTTCATTTCCGCTCTTTTTAAAGCAGATAATTGCCTAAAAAGTGATTATTAATTAGCCCAATTCATTGAACGTCATCAAATGTTTTGAAAGTGATTTTACCTGTTCGTATTTTCGTTGTTCAAAATATTTTTTTCCTTCCTTATTCCATTCAGATGGACTGCTTTTTTTAGTAAAGTTGGAAGAAAAATCGATTTCTTTCACGCTCTCTATCACTTTAACCAGCCCTTTTGATTTCCAGTAAGTCTGAATTGGCTCACTTAACTCAACATTTTCATCAAAAATCCAAAGATGTTCTCGAGCTCTAGTCACAGCAACATATAAATGTTTAAGTTCTGAGGAAAGGATATAATGCTCCTCATGGGAAAATGACTGAATCCCCTTAGAATATCCTTCCAAAGTGGAAAGAATTACCCGCCACTAATGATATGTATGTAAATTAATGTAAATTCAGTAAAATCTGATCCAAATAAAATAAAATATCTTGCCTTTAAAAGTGCGGGTGAATCAGTAAAGAAATTATACAATAACACATCATTAAATTCCATGCCTTTAGCCTCAAAAACTGTCAATACCAATCCAATATTTTCAATACTATTATTGTTTAGTTCTTTCAAACGTCGTTTGGATGCATCATCACGTACAATAATGACCTGACTGGCACTGAATTCGATCAAATTAGACACTTGTTCACTTCCAGAAAAGACATCAGAAAAGAAGGTATCAGCTCTAAATCCTTTGAAAATGAAAGGTTGTGGACCGTCGACCACGCCCCGTTCTGGTAATAGTTTGTCAATAGAATCGGGAAAAAGATCGCTAAGGAGTTCAATCACTGACGCGGCAAGATTAAGGATTCCCTTGTGAGAACGATAATTAACATTTAGCTCGAATTTTTTTATAGTATTTTGTTGATTGTGATTCATAGGGTTCCGATCAAGTTCCCATTGATGCATTAGTGCGCGTAAATCTATATTTTGTTATTAAAGTTAGGAATGTAAATAAAGAAACAATAGATAGAAGGATAATACATACCCTGAAATCGGAAGGAGGATCCTCGGGCAATACATTGTGCTATGTCCCCAGCCATAAAAATGCTGTCAGCATGGTTAAAAAGCTTTAAAATAAGTGCGAAGTCAATGATTTGATTATCCTGGCATTCATCAATATACACTTCATGAATGTGTAGGCCGCTGAGCATTCTTGTTTCAGCTGCATGCGAAATAGCTAGAGTTCTATAATAAAGAAAGAAAAATCAAATTTACAAAATTCACTCAAAATTCAAATATTATTCAACCTTACCGGTCTGCTGAATCATAATCACCATTCCATCTTTTCATCTTTTCATACCGTTCAAATAGATCATATATCTCATCACGATTGTAGCAGAACACTGGATATTTTTTGATGCTAACATTCCTGTATTCTTCCCTCGATAGGAAATCCACTTCAGAGTTCGTGCCCTTCAAAAATTTTCAGAAATAATAATTATTAAAAGCAAAAGCGTACTATAACAGTCACTGCACTATACCTTGATAATAGAAAACTCAGAGTAGACCAACTCGCACTTTAGTTTTGTTCTGTAATCATCGCTGAAATGAGGCCAGTACTTTTCTTTAAAAAGATTATAATTAACAAAGTGAGCCCATAAATGGTTTGATTCCTCCTCTTCGTTATCATGTTCATCATCATCTGCATTATTCTCTTGTTGTATGGTCAGCTTTCGAGCATCAATGCCATAGGTTCCTAAAAGCATTTCAGAAAACTTTTCATAGGTAATGAATAATGGGAAATGATGGTCCTTGAGCATGCAAAACAAATTTGGAATTTTTTTTAACTCCTCCTTCTCATCATCTTCTTCACGCATGTTATTATCAATTGCCTCATTATTTTCATCGATTTCTTTCCTTTTCCTTACTTTCTCCTTTATTTTCTCACCAAGTTCATTCCTTGACATCTTAACTCCAGTTAACATTGCAGAATTTTTTAGTTGATTGAAATGTTCTTTTACTCTCCAGAATAGATTGTAGCTCACAGTAATAAATATCTGCCTTCTACAAAAATTCTCATTATCATCATTTGAGGATGGTACCTTGTAAAGTTGATTTGCTAAGTATGAAGCAAGCTGTCTAAATACGATACATGTCATCTTACCAGTCCCTAAATATGGGTTATACAAAATAAAATAGAAATCAACAGACATTAGTCATTCATTCTTAGTTAAAATCGATGAACTAGATTACTAGATTACTTACCTGATCGACCAATTACAATCGCTGACGTAAGATTGGTAATTATTTCATGTTCAATCTTAGATACCTGAAAAGTGAAGTCAGAGCCGTCTAGGCCTCTAGGGCGAGTGACCAGATAAATTCTGCAATAAAAAAAAAAGAAATTTATTTTAGTTGTGAAAATTTGCTTTTAATCTAAATATTTACATAATAATGACATATTATACCTTTGAGAAAGGAAAGAATTTATTTGTGACAAGCATCTTATGAACCTCTAGCATTTTATCATCATCTATACCAAAATCTTCATTATCTTCATTGGCATTTATTGTATTTTCCGCATCTTCAACTTTCTTTAATAAAATAACATTTTCTCTGTCCCCACCAAATATTTTTGGCAAAACAATATTGTTTTCATTATCTAGGATTTCGCACTTACTATTGTGTTCATCGGTGTAGGCATCATGAATTGTTACAAGGTTATCTAATACCCTTTGAATCTGTTCTGGTTTAGAAGAAACGGTCCAAACCTTAACAAGTTGCGTGTATGAATAGCGGCGAATAGAGAACTCATAATCAACATCCCAGAGAATTCTCAAATTTTCACTGTCAGGTCCCGAAAGCACTACCTCATAGACAGGAATGTCATGAGAGGGTATCTTTTGACGAAGTTTGTACTTGTCCCATACGCCAGATGATATATGTTTAAGTGTTTTCTAGTGCTCCTATCGGGTCGGATTCGGTCGGGTTTGGAGAATATATCCGACTCGATCTGGCAAAAATGGAAATGATCCAATTTTAACCCGACCCGGGTATATTTAATTTGAATAACCCGGGTTAGACCCGAAATTTTAGTAATTTTTAATTGGATAATGTACTGTATGCTTAGTAATATATCAAAAAATTTTTTTTTTCAAATATATAACACAAGGTAATTGATCTATAAGACAATGATAAATGATCGTCATATAGGTCACACAACTTTTTATTCTTAAAACTAAACGAATTTAAAAGTTGACTTCGTTAAAAAAAAAAAACTAAACGAATTTAAAGATACCATATATCATTCAATTCCTGTTTATTTATTGCTTTATATTTGATCTATAAAATCGAAATTGTATCACTTGTTTTAACAGAAATTTTATGTCTGCCAAGACTTCAAACACATGCATGCTCTAATTGTATCTGCTTTAAGACTACATCTTTTTGCAGCTATTAAATCGGTTCCACCAGAAAACACTCTTTCTACTGGGACACTGGTTGCTTTATTAATCATCAAATCAACTTGTTAGTTAATGTAATGTTAATAATTAATAAAATAAATAATAATAATAATTCATGCATACCCGTAATTGCAAGGTAGTCCCTAGCCATTTTTGCTAAGTAGGGATATACTACCTCATTTGTCTAATAAAATTATATATATTAATTGAACTGTTAATAAATTTAAATTATATAATTTGATAATAACTAGGCATATACAGTACCTTCCACCAAAGTAAGATATCTTGGCGTGGCTCAGCTCGAGGAGCTTTTAGATATAAATCCACTTCATTTTGTTTAACTTTTTTTTGTTTTCCAAATATATGACTAAAAAATCCATTATTTTTATTATTGTCATCAGAATCATTATTTAAATTTTCATCAGCAGGTCCATATTTATCATTATAGATATTGATAACTGTTTCCTTTGCAAAACGAATAAAAGTTTGTTTCCACTTGTGATCTTCATAGTAACCTAGTTTTAATCGTGGATCAAGTACTATATAATTGAATTATTTTGATATTAAAGTTTAGTGTTAATTAAATTGAAGAAAAATAAATATAATTTTGATATTTAACTTACTAGTAGCAACTGTATACATAGTTGTTTCGTCTGTTTTTGCATAATATGTTTCTAATTTCTTTATACCTGCTTTAACAGCAGTTACTATATCATTAGAACTATCACAATTATCACAATATTCTTCAAGCTCATCAATTAGATAATTGTATACTGGTATAGCTGAGGAAAGCATTGGATACTTTGCAAAGGACACTACATTGGTAGCTTGTACAAATATCTATATATAATTTAATAATATACTAATAAATAAAATTTTAATTAATCAAATCTTTTTACTAAAACTTATAATAATTTGCTCACCATTAAAACAGATACAATCCTTTCAATTCGATCCCATTCATCATCAGAAAGCTCAAAAATTCGAAGTTCTTTATCTGAACTTGCAGTTGCATCCAATGCCTATAGTGAAAATATTAAAATATAATCAAATTAAAATATTAATATTATATTATAATAATATATATTCTAACCTCACGCATCTTTAATGCACGTTCAAGCATGTCATGTGTTGAATTCCACCTCGTTTTCACATCTAAAATAAGTTGAATTTCTTTAAGTCCAGCAGCTTCAACCTGGCGTGCAAATCGTTCCCGACGCTGTGGTGATGATCGTATTTTAACTATAAGTTTTCGAAGCTAATTATAACATGATAGTAATAATTAATATAATAATGTCAATAAAGTTTTAACAATATATTACAAATAATTACCTTTGGGATTATATCACCAGTAGTTACAGTTATATCCATATTATTCAATATTGTATCTTCAGACTCAGCTTCTCCTGCTTTAATTTGCTTTAGAATATCTTGTACAGCTAAATTCATAATATGAGCAATACAGCGACAATGATTATCAACAGCATTAAAATTAATACTTTTATTTTGACAAACATCTTCTAAATATCTCATAAAAGTATCATTATTTGAAGCATTATCGCTTGTAATTGCAAAGATCTTTAAAATAGATAATTTTATTAGTATATATTTTAAGGACAAAATATATAAAGAAAAATTACCTTTTCTAAAATTCCAAAATCATTACAACTTTCCACAAAAGCATTACGGAGGTTTTCACCAGAATGAGAACCAGAAAGTTTTATAAAATCAAGCAAACTATCACAAAGTTTCTAATCTTTTGTAATCCAATGTACTGTAATAGCTAAAAATCCATAACCATTTATTGATGTCCATGCATCTAGAGCGAATGAAATTCTGCCTGGAATATTCTATTATTATAATATGTTAGTTTTAAGGAGAATTTGTAATTTAGGATTATGTTATACATATATTTAAACATTTACCTGAAATAAAATTTTCCTTTTTTTTCATTCTTCTTCAAAGCTTTCCATTACATCTTTTTTAATTGTATCTGCTTTAGGAACTAATGCATCTGAATTTAACACCTTTACCATATTTCGAAAATGAATATTCTCAGTTGTTGTAAATGGCTGGTCATCAGCAATTATCCATCCAGTGAGAAACTTACGAAAATCTGTTTGTGTAAACTTAAAATAAAAATTAAATAAATTGTAAAAAATAAATATATATATAAAGATTTTTTTCTTTCATATTTTATAGAATGACTACACTTACTCTAGATGGAATTTCCTTCTGATTCATAAATTCATCTAATGTACTTTGATTATCTGCTACTGCATTTTTTGCTTTTTTTTTAGGCCTTAGGTCTTTTTCTGGATGATAAATTTCTACATGACGCCAAAGATTAGATGTGCTGGAGTCACCAATTTTGCGATACCAGAATTTAGGCTTTCTAAAATTTTAAAAAGAAGTATATAATCAATACTTTTATTATAGTTTCTTTAAAATAATTTACTTACGAACAGTTAAGACACTGGACTTCACGATGAGTTTTTGCATCCTTATGTTCTGGAGGAAGATCTCTTTGTACAAAGAGCTTTTTAGTAAAAAGATCACTATGTAGAGCTTTTCTTTTTTCAAGACGACTAGATGGTGGAGTTGTTGGTTCAGTTAGATCAATAGACATGGTAATCAAATATTCTTAAGGTGGCTAGCTGAGAAAAAAAGATTTGGATAATCGTAATCAATGATGATACATAAACGTAATCAATGATGATATATAAACGTAATCAATGATAATATATAAACGTAATCACATAATCAATATGTGATCAGTGATTTTAATGATCATCCGGGTCTATTTCGGGTCAAAACCCAAGTCAAGGAAATGAATGACCCAACCCGACAGGTCAGATCATGCGGGTCACAGGTTATTAAAATTGTTAATACCGACCCGATTTAAAATTCACTCGGGTTGAATTATCCGGGTTAGACCCGAATTTTGCGGAGCACTAGTGTTTTCATTATTAATTCAATTGTTTCAATTGATTCCAACTGCCACATATCTTTTACTGCATCTTCGCTGAGCAGGACATCCCACGGACCAAGTTTGTCTGTAATATTAAACTCGAATGGAAGTCGAAAAATGCGATGTTTTTCCTCCATGTTGCGAAAATTGCAATCGTATAGTAATAGTGTTTGTTCCCTATAAGTATCTTAAAAGGAAATGTAAAGAGGTGAAATGTGGGAAAGGTGAAAATTTAAACTTGATATAAGTAACACAAGTTTAATTGAAATTGAGTTTTTCCGATGTCATGCAACCGCTGATCAGTGCAGAAATAAAGTGCTGATTTTTATAAGAAATTTCTTATTATTATAAAATTAATAAAAGAAGGGCACGATTAAATAATAAACATTAAACAATATTTATCTTTAAAATTTTAAAAGGAAAAGAAAATTTAGCCAAATATTGTGATAAGTCATTATTTATTTATACAAGTTCGCAATAACTAGATTGGATTTGTACATGATTTTCATATTGAAGTTATTAAATAGAAATTTATTTTAATTGGTTAAAGTCTTTATGCACAAGGAGTAACAAAAAAGTAAAACAAAAAAAAGAAATGGAAACAAAGATACCATCTGATATAAATTATACAACCATATGACTAATCTTTAGAGTCGAATGATTAATATAGTTAGGCTTAGTGCACGTAATGGAGATCTTTACTAAGTATAGATTCTTTCGAATTTATTATTTGTCACTTTTAATATGCAAAGTATATACTGTATATAGTACTTGGATGCGCAGTAATCAATTTACGTTGTTTATTACATAAGTCAGACTTCTTTTTATTCTAAAAATTATTCTTCAAAGATAAATTTAATTGGCAAAATGTAGTTGGCGACCTTTATCACGTGAATAAACAAATTTTTATTGGCTACTTCATATGATTATTTGCTTATAGATAATCTTTTTTAACGTGTCGTCGTGTCGTCGTGTCCTTTGTTTTTTAAAAAAATAACAGATAACGTCTTTCTTGTTCTCACTTCTTACTACCGGAAACCAAGTATGTTTATTGTTTTCTTCTTTTCTTTTCTTTTCTTTTGTTTCTTTAACAAAATGTTTACTAACGCTTTGCTAATTTCTTTTTTTTTTTAGATTTCGGGTAGTTGAACACAGGTAATATTAAAAAAAATTTTTGTTTGTTGATTTCTTTAATGAAGTAATTACTAATGTTTCACTTATTCTTTTTTTCTAGGGTTCAGGTAGTTTAACACTGGGCTTGGAAGGTAATATTCGAATTTTTTTTTTGGATTTCTTTAACAAGCGTTTTGATAATATATTTTTTTTTAGATTTCAGGTAGTTGGATGCTGGGGTTGGGAAGGTAATATTCGAAAAAGTGGTTTTGTTGATTTTTTAATGAAACATTTACTAATGTTTCATTATTTTCTTGATTTTGAGAACTGAGAAATGAGTTTCGTTTTTTTGCTACAATAAAGGTATGTTTTTAGGGTTTGGTTTTGATTTTTATTTTTTACTCCTTGTTCCACCACACTAACCTTATTTCTTTTTTTATTCTTTATCTTATTTCGTTTCTTTATTCCATTCATTTTATTTCATTTTATTTCCTTTCTTCCCTCTTTTATTTCCTATTACATTTCGTTCTTCATGTTCCATTTTGTACTTTACTTCATGTTCTTTACTCCTCGTCCTTTACTTTACGTTCCATTTCGTTCTTAATTTCATGCTCCATTTCGTTCTTTACTTCACGTTTCATTTTGTTCTTTACTTCGTGTTCCATTTCGTTCGTTCCATTTTGTTTCTCCATTTTGTTTTTCACTTTCTATTCCATTTTGTGATTTACTATCCTATTTTGTACTTCATTCCTGTTCTATTTTTGTTTACTTTATATTTCATTTTCGCTTTTTATTATCCTTTTGTTTTCTTTTACCTATGTTTTTTTTTCTTTTCCTCTTCCTTTATTTCTTCCCCTTTGTTTCTTTTTTTCTCTTTTCTTTCCTTATTTCATTTATTTTACTCTTTTTTTATTTAAGAAGTTCAATCATAAAATCAAATAAAATTAGTAAAAATGGTTTCCCGGCTGGGTCAGTTTTGTTAAAAAAAATTTCACATAAAATTTTTGAAAAAAAATTAAAGGCTGGGTTGCCGGGTTATTGACGAAATTTTTATATTGTGAAAACCATAAGATTAAACTTGTATGGCCTTAGTCATATAAAAAATTTAAATAAAAATTCATGTTTTATTTTCATATAAATTGTTCGTTTTGGCTAAGTTTTAAGTTTTTTTTTTAAAGATAAAATAATAAGCTTTTTCATAAAATTAGCCAATCAAAAATTTTGTTAAATCACGTGATAGGGTCGCCGTCGCCAAGTAATAACGCCCAATTTAATTAATTATTAAAGAATTTTGCAATATATGAAATTAATCACATTTTTTCTTCTTTCTCTTCCCTTCATTTTATTTTATGCTTAGTAATTTAGGTTCAAGTTTCAATCCTGCTTTTTCTGATTCAAGTTCTAATTTTTAGAATAATTGATTAGGTATTACAGATTTGCAACTATTTTTCTTTAAAATTTTCGGTCGAGTGATCAACAAGAGCAAATGTCTTTCATATTTATGATGTTCTTAATTTATCCAGTTCAGTGTCAAATCGTAAATAATTTACATGTGGTATGACGCCTGAATTATGGTCGAAGATGAAATTGTAAGGTTTAGCGCAAATAGGACAAAAATAACTGAAATAACGAATGAATCTTTGAATAGAAAAGATCTGGCAGAACAAGATAATTTGCCAAGACAAGAATCTCAAATGGACAATTACCGTATATCACGGGCCATAGTACCCTCTATGTATAGTGCCCCTCAAAAAAGAAGTCAAATTCTTGTTGATTTGATTATTTAAATAATCCAACAAATATCCTAGGCGTGACGTGTAACAATACCCTAATTATTTTATAAGTTTAAACACCTCTATTAAGTAAAAATTCGTGTAATAGGGGGCCAAACCTCCGAAATTTGCAAGATACCTGGTACTGTGGCCCGCGATATATGGTAATTTCGTCAAGATAATAGATAATATGTCAGTTAGTTCTTAAATCACAATCCATACAGAATCAAGGAACTTTACGAATTATGACTTCACAGTTTCTAATTTGGTTGATGTCATGAAAAAGAAATTTAGTATGAATTCTACTTTATTAAATTAAATAAAAAATAAAAATAAACAAAATACAAAAGGCCTGAGCACGAAATATTGGAGTGAAAGTAGTGGACGGGTTGACTATGCAATCAAGGTGAGACTTGTATTTTTTACCATTCCTCCAGCATGGCACAGCGGTTTACCTAGGTAAACACACCCACTAGATCCTATGTTAACTTACTACAAAATATAAACTTATAGAAATCTGATGAGCTTATTTGCATCACAAAGGATAAGGTCCAGCAAAAATTAACCAAGGGCTTTGCTTAGAACATCAAGCAACTTGAAAGTTTGTTTCAGCGTGATGAGGACTATATTTTGACTTTCTATACGGGGTTGTGACATCCACCAGGGATTGGCATTTTCTCCTTTATTCTCCAGGTGAAATTTTAGGCCCCTTTAGTATTGAATTTACCGAAGAGACTCTAATTGAGAACTCTGAAAAATATCAAACATTGCGTAAGGGTTTAAGAAGGTTTTAGGCATAATCATTAGCTTGTTGGAAGATAGGGCATGTGTGGAGGATAACTTAGAAAGAAAGAGAGCAAAGATAAATGAATATCGTTCAAAAAAATAGGGGTGGCATTATAGTCTGTAATGTATCATGGGCTACGTCCCAAACTTAGTATTTATTTTTCGCATGTATTAATAAAGTGGTTTTACATTTGTCACGTAATATTGAATAATTCTTTCAATTCATATGTAAAAATATTATTTATCATGTCATCTGAGCTTGAAGTATTGATCACTGAGCTTGAGACTAAGAAAACTGACAAGAAAGCTAGGCTTGAAGCATTGAGACAGAGCTTCGCCAAGCTCTAGAATTTTAAAACTAGAGCAGCATCAGGCAGAAAGAGAAAATAAGAAAAATCACAAATTCCAGATGCATCCAGATAGTTAAGGAAATTCTTAATGAGGAACCTATGATCAAATATCGCCCTCCTTTCTTGAACGGATTAGAGCTTGATGTCTTCTTCCATAAATATCAAATCGCACTGGAGGTGCAAAAAGATCAGCTTCATAGTACCAGCTGGTATAAAGATGTTAAAAACTCGAAGACATTCACTGGTAAAAAAATGGTCTATCCTACATATATCCTACATATATCTTACACATATCGGGTACTTAAAATGTAGAAAATCATACACAAATAATACACATATCATACACATATCGGGTACTTATATATATAGTATACCTATCAGGTACCTGATATATGTATGATATATATATTAGTACCCGATATGTGTATGATATGTGTATTATTTGTGTATGATTTTCTACATTTTAAATACCCGATATGTGTAAAATATGTGTAGGATAAATCATTTTTTTACCAGTGATTGTTAATCGTGATCAGCAAAAAATATGCATTTGTCAAGATAATGGAATATTCTTTATTGAGGTATAGTATGACCAAAATTTGAAAATTGTTATTCTGGAAAGGATACAAAAAATTAAAGAATTTGTCATTAACTACTTATAATTATGTAAATTTACATTTTTTACGTCATGCTATAGCTATACCATAATATCCGCAAATTGGCAGTATTGTAAAATGTATTTTTTTTTTTTTTTTTTTTTTTTTTTNAGATGTACACAACGTTAACTTTATTAAATAAGATATAAAATACAAATAAAAATAAAAATTACAATACTACAAAATTAATAGAAATTAGCTACACTAAGATCTACGACAAAGGGCATGCAATCAGGATAAGCAAACGTGAGTTGAATCACTAGCTACACCCTCAAATCCATCCAGTTTTCTCGCAGAAAAAAGGCCAGACCCACCTTAAATAGTACTGTAATTGAAAGGCACCAAATAAAATAAATTAATAAAATACAATAAATTCTGTAACAATACTATTTTAAGGAGTACAACTATCGTAGTATCCTAATATATCACTACCATAATATATATTGTTCCTAATTCCTATTAAATCTTCATATTTATTAATTGTTGACTGTTGTCTTAATCTATATAAACAATCAACACCAAAATGCCTTTTCTTTAGATTTTTATTAATTCCTAAATCTTTGTCTTTTTTCTCCATTTCTTGACAACATTTCAACCAATATTCATGGAAAATATGATGACCCATTTTCATTCTAAATTAGTATAAAATTTTTGATGTTAATTTCTTTTGTTTGCTGAAACGATCTATAAAATGTGACAAATTTTTTGGGATAAAGCCTTTTATTAAGTCTATAAATGTAAATTTGTTATTATCTATATTTAAATCCCAAATATCCAGATCATTAATTTCTAGATTATCTATATGAGTTTCATTGTTATCTATATGAGATAATATAGATTCTTTCAATGCTGTTTTAGTTGACGATAATAAAGTTAACATATCTAATGATCGGTCTACACACAACCATATATGATTAAAGTCTTCTTCCTCATTCTCACATATTGGACATAATCTATCCTTATAAAGACTGTTCAGACTTTTTAGGATTTGGTGAATACAGGGAAGTTCTTCTATCATTAACTGTATTTTCCTTCGTCTTATTTTATTTTCAGCAAATGTAGTATATAAAGATCCTTCTTCTCCTTTTAAAAGAGAAAAAGTAAGTATTGTAAAACGTATTATTTATAAAGCACGCCACATAATGACTTATATAATGTTGTACAAGATCAATGATCCTAACCCAAGAACGTTAAAACAGTAATTCTTTATACATATATGGCAACAACCGCAACAGGTGACCAAACAAAGTAAGCAAGCAGGTAGTTTTCATTATCTGCTAACTAAAGTTTAAAGTTTATTCAACTGGTTAGGCAAGCTAGAAGAACCATGGCAGCAAAAAATAATTTCAGACTTCGTGACCCTCTTTAGATAAGGACTAAAGAGAGTTTGTACATGCTTAGCAAATTCATAAGTATATTTTATGTAGAAATGGAGTAATTACTCCTTTCAGACACATTAGAAAGAATATAAAGGTAGACAACTATCAGCTGGTCCCGATCATTATGGGTTGGGATTCCATAAGTTTCCTCTGGCCTTTTTCCAATCAACCTCCATTAGAAATGACAATGAACAAAAAAATAGAATATCATTTAAAGAGTCTGGACTATTATTTACTAACATATACAGTATGTACATTTTGTATAATAAATACAATAAATGAAAAGAAACTAATAAAGCATTATTTTATGATAAGTAATTTTGACATTAATTATTCAAAAGATTGATTAATACTGACACTTTTTCTACTATAAAAGATAATTCAAATATAGTTATTAATGGAAATTATACTCCAGATGTATCAGATTTTACCAAATTTATTACATCAGGTATATTTGTAGATAAATCACTTTTTATTATGAAGTTTATGATTTATGGTGAACAGGCCAATCTGATTACACATCCTCGTCAATTTGGTAAATCCACAAATCTTTCAATGCTTTATACCTTTCTTGCACCAACATTTACTGAAGAAGAAAAAACACAAAGACTTAGTTTATTTAAAGATCTCAGAATTTCTAAATTCAAATGGTTCATTAAGTCAAACTTTGGCAATTGGCCTGTTATTCACATTAGTTTTAAAGTAAGTAAATTTAAATGCTTGATGCAATTTTTTTTTTACAGACAATTTTAATAATAAAACTTATTTTACTAGGATCTTAATACCACCTGACCGAATTTCTATTGAGAATACCAACAGATTCAAATTTACGTCCTTCGGCAGTGAATATAACGTTTTCAATAAATACAAAAGAACAAACAGTACGATGCATGTTTGGGACTTCGATGCATTGTCAAGTGCCAACAAAACAATCAGTAGAAACAAGGGTACAGAATATGATGATATTGCAGCTAGCAGCAGTGGATATAGAAGATGCACTAACAGAGGATCAATGTTCTCATCCTTTGGGCAATTGCGCAGAGTTGATTCCGTGGGAAGCAATGCGCAGAGAACAGAATTCCAACCAGGAGAATGTCACTTTGTATATGTGAACTCTAATTATTCCCAGGAACAATCAACCTCTGAAGATCATAGCTCCATGCTCCAAATGTCAACACGTGATTCCAAAGATGAAGTCTCATCAATTAGCAACCATCCATCAATATTAGCTGAAACGTTTGAAAATGTATCTGATCAATCTTGTTTTGCATCATCTATCAGTTATAATATTAGTGAAGCAGAAGACCTATTTGACTATATAACTTGTGTTAAAAAATATGGATTCAACATATAATCGTTATAGGTGAGGTCGAAATTGGAATTATTTTTTCAGACTGTTACAGACGCATTTTTAAATTTTTAAATGGGATGATGCAAGCATGATGTTGTGGCCACGTGGGGATCCTAAAAATTTATCAAACATGAAAAAAGGGGAAGATTGGCTCAGATGGTTTGTAAAGGATGGAGTCGTATACGAATATATTAGGAGACCTCTTCGTATGAAATTTCCAGATTTATTTACTCCCGCAACAAAAAAGTAAGAAAAAGAAGCGTAGTTAAAGATGGTGATTAAAAGAATTAATAATTAACTTAATTTAGTTCTGCGAAATTCTAATAATAGTTTATTATGTATTTTAATTCTGTAAACTAGCTTTATCTTTTTTTTAAGCATGTACGTACACAAATCCGAATATATTAAAATAAAATTATAAAATTAATTATAATCAATATCCAGTAAAGCTGGTTGTTTTCTATGCCTTTGGTGAATGATCATGGTACTATTTCATGTCATATTCTACTTGAATTTTTCTGACAGGAATTGACTAAGCTGATCTTTTAAAATACAAGCCAAATCTTTCTAAACGGACCGCATATATCGGTCATGTGAGACGATAACCTGAAAATGCGCAGTAGTACAGTATCGGAAGAATAGGGTATGGATATTTTTTCCAGCAATCAACATTTCGCATATGGGATTTGGGGGATATGCTAATCATGAAGTCATCTTTATTAATTTGCAAGGGGTTATGTTACCAGGGAGGTGACGGATTAACGAATGACAAATATGGTGCGTAATTGCCAGTTAAAAGAAGTCAAATCCAATATTTTACTGTTACCAGAGGTAACTCTATAAAAAGCAAGAAATTACAGAGGTCCAAAGAGCGGGTTATTTTTTTCCTTCGGTCCTTCGGTCCTTCGCTCATAGTTCAGGTAATACCGCAGGACAGTATGTCTCTTTCCAACCCGCAATGTGATAAAGACATCCTCACACCATCATTTGTAGACATGTGTTTCATAGGGAATGTATCGAAAGATTATTTCTTCTTATACGCCAGAACAAATGTTCTGTCGCCGATTGCACCGCAAATGTCAAACCCGCGGTCTCTGAGCGAAGATTTTCTGTAGCATCATAGCAGTCTAGTACTACATCATTGTCTAGGAGAATGAGTAATCAACTCCAGATTAACCTCCCTACAATCCAAGAAGAGGGGAAATGGACGAAATAGGTGTGATTCTGAGGGATCCTGTTCAACCCAACACCAGCAATAGGAAGCGCTCTAGCGAAGCTACGGATGTTTCCTCCGTCTAAGAAACATATTCACCCGGAGGATTCCAACACCTTGCAAAAGCTTATCTGTGAGCTTTCATCTGACATTACTCGAATATCTGAAATCAAGGAAAGGAAAGCGCTTGATAAAGAATCTGCGCTGAAAGGTTCAGAGGAAACCTGAACCTTTTTTGATTTGTATTTAAAAAATCTCCGATGCAGAAAAGCGAACTAATCTTAGCATATTATAACTTAGAGAAGCATCTTGACCACTATAAGAAAACCGAGGAGGAACACGAGGCTCAGAAGAGGGTCAACGATGAAGTCAGAGGCCAGCTCCCAAAAGAAGTCACCAAGTATACAATCCGGAAGAAAACAGAAGGCGCCCGAAAGGTTTATGATCTGTTTTTTCGTATTAGCGATGATAAAATAGGGCGGGTGGTTAATATCCGGCAAATAAAAACCTTTTCAGCATCATCTATCGCAAAATTAAGTTGGGATGACATCTTATATGTCGCAACACAGGTTAAGAAGAATAATAGAGTTAGTGCATAATGTGAGCCTGACTGCGGATCATGTGATAGTAAAGTTTCGAGTCTCACTTTTTTTATACACCCTATTGTAAAGCGGGATCCTGCCCCTTTGGGCGCTCCACAGGAGAGTATGATACACAATAAAATAATAAAGTTTGCCCGGTCGGGCCATTGGTTTAACCGTTATGTACTGTTAACTGTAAACATATTGTGGCATGCGTGCTCATCTCCTGCGTTGGAGATCGGACAATCACCTCTGAACCTGCTTGAATCAAACATTTACGTAACACTGCAATTTTATAACGTAGAGTGTCGACAGCTTTATTACGCATGTTTTATTAATACAGGTAAAAAATAAATACAATGATTCGGGACGCATCCCATTATACAGGTGAAATGAGTACGGAGTAAAATAAATACAAAGGCTCGGGACTTTGCCTGTGATACATGACGAATTTACTACGCTAAGACTTAACTACAGTATCTGATTTTTCCGAAAGATTGCTCGTTGACCTATGCTTTTTTATTACCTTCTCTTCACTTCGAGAATCTGAATCTGGCTTCTGCGTCTCCTCCAACAGCCATACAATATGCCCAAGAACTTTCCTAATCATGTTTTCCATATTCTCATCGTTATATACTACGACCACAAGTTCCGATAATTTGAAGCTTGGCCTTTCTTGTTCATCTATCGTACATTCTATGAAATAGAATTTTTCATAGTGCTCCGCAAAATTCGGGTCTAACCCAGATAATTCAACCCGAGTGAATTTTAAATCGGGTCAGTACTAACAATTTTAATAACCCGTGACCCGCATGACCCGACCTGTCGGGTCGGGTTATTCATTTCCTTGACTCGGGTTTTGACCCGTATTAGACCCGGATAATCATTAAAATCACTGATCACATATTGATTACGTGTTAATATTGATTAATTTTATATAATTTTGTTAGATGAATGAGGTAGTATAGCGAAAATTGCTAGAGACACCTTGCAATTACAGATATGTGTATGAATTAATATTTTAATTATTAATTTTACATTAGCTAATAAGTGTATTTTGATAATTAATAAAGCAACCAGCGTTCCAGACTTCCAGTAGAAAGAGTATTTGCCGGTGGAACCGATTTGATAGCTGCAAAAAGATGTAGTCTTAAAGCAGATACAATTAGAGCATGCATGTATTTAGAGTCCTGGCAGACATAAAATATAGTCAATTTCTGTTAAAGCAAGTGATACAATTTTGATTTTATAGTTCAAATATAAAGCAATAAATAAACAGGAATTGAAGATATCTTTAAATTTGTGCTTAGCTTTAATTTTAATAATAAAAAGTTGTATGACCTATATGATATCAATTACCTTGCGTTATTGAAAAAATTATGTTTGAAAAAATATTTTTGATATATTACTAAGCATATAGCAATGAAAATTACTAAAATTCGGGTTTAACCTGGGTTATTCGAATTAAATATACTCGGGTCGGGTTAAAATCAGATCATTTCTATTTTTTCCGGGTCGAGTCGGATATATTCTCCAAACCCGACCGAATCTGACCCGGTAGGAGCACTAATTTTTCAGCATCAGTAACTATTCCAAGAACTCTTCCGAACGCTGTTCCTCCTCCATTTCATTGGCCTTGCGCTTGCGATTCGATAGAAAGGACTCGAGCTGGACCGCGCACTGTGCGACTCCTTTTAAAAATATGTAATCATGAAATAACCGAGCTACTATAGAAAAATTTCTCATATAAATACTTTAAGGAAAATTTCTATTTCTTTAAACAAATTAACAAACAACAAGTTAAAAATTATAGATCCCAAAACATGCAATTAAAATGCTTATTGTTGATTTTCGTCTTTACTATTGTTTTAGCGAATAAATTATCTCTTTACTTTTTATTAAAAAAAAAATTTTTTTATTATTTATTTTAATTATTAAAACGAATTCTTTAATAATAATTTAATTCACAGATGAGACAAACGTGACGCAGACGCAGAATTTCAAGAACTTAAGTGCTAGCTTTAAACCGCGAAGGAGTAATTTTATTACGTTAAAAAAACAAGTTTTATATTTTTATATCAATTCAATAAAATAAAATTTTTACAATAAATATGTAAATTTAATGTGAAATATGAGGAATATGAACTTCTTTAACTTTGAATTATCAATTTCAAAGTGAAACTTGCTGCCACTATTAAAAAACACTATTGATCCGCTATCATTTTGTAAGCTTTTTTTGATAAAACTCTGCTAATCGTGCTCATTAATCATGACGGTATTTTGGCAGTAAATATATGCAATGGAAGATTACGGTACGATTCACAGCCAGACCTGGACGTAGAAGTAATGAAATTTTTAAACTAGTTTAATTTTTTTATCGCAGTAACACAACTAAATTAAACCTTTTTTTTAACGATCAAGTTCTTTTGGAGTAACGGAAAAAAATCATATTCAATTAAATTTTATTCACCAATCACGTAACTTTCTTAGAATTGGGTTTAACAATCTAATCTATAATACAATATTTCAAATTAATTAGTTCATTAGCTGCGCCATTATTATTGAAAAATAACCGATCAGATAAATTTGTTCATTGAAAAATTATATTTAATACTACAGTATTAAAGTTTCTTATTAAGCCGTAAACATAAATTTAATGTAATTTGAAAAAATTATTATACATCATAATAAATAAATTGGTTTATATAATTATGTCTAATAACTTATATGTCGATAATATTTAAAAATTACTTTATACTAAATATATATTAAATGTACAATTTATTTTCAAATAACTTAAGTGCTGAGAATTTCAAAAGACTCCACTAACTTGTTTATAGGATTTTCATCTGAAGCATCAAGCTCTTCTATATACTGATGGCCTAACTCTAAGAGATTGGGAATACTTTCATAATCATCCAGTCTTATTGGTTCTTCAAACCAGATTTGCCATCGTTGATAGCGATTTTCCAACAAACTATTAAACGATCAGTATTACCTTCCTGTTGTGGTAGCACTAAAGAATCTGATATATAACTCCTTGTACCTAAGGAAAACACGGAAATCTTTTCTTTTTCTACATTATATTGATTAGCTTTTTCATAAGCTGCCATTGATGGATTATTGAGATGCAAAGCGCCATCTAAGAAAATACCTCTACCTTCTATCTTGTAAGATGGGAAAAAAGTAGGCGCAGCTGTCGTAGCCATTAAAGCATCAACAAAAGTATAATTTTTTATATTTTTGATAGCATTATGACGTGTAAATAAATGCGTTTGTGCTAAGTTGCTTTCATTATTTACCGCAGGAATAACGAGTTCAGTAAGTGCTTGATTTAAATACATCCTGCCAAAATGTCTATAAAACAACGAACGACGTCCTTTATCTGTATACTTAGACTTGGAAAAACTCCATGAGCTATCAGTAGTAAAAAAGTTTTTTATTTCACTCTGATAAATATTCAATAAATCTAAAGCTGAAAACTTTGGGTTTAAAACTGAATACTTTAAATCATCATAAAATAAATGGTTTCTTGTATTATATGATTTCCAGGATGGTACTGATAATCCAGCAGCTATAAATCCTCCAGCTGATGTTCCAGCTATCATATCAAATAGATAAGAAATGGGTTTATGAGTATGATATTCTATCTCGCTAAGCCATAAAGCAGGTAATACACCACATATACCCCTCCATCGATCGAGAGAATATTATAAGCACGACTCTCTTTATTATGGGAACTTTTTGAATTATTCATTTCATATTTAACATTCTTTAATTCTTTTTTATAAAGATTCATATGCCATTCAATTGTATTTTCTTTGCTTGATTTTTTTAGAAGTGATTTATGCAGGCCAGCTAACTTGTTTTTATTATCTAGTCTCAATGCCTCAATAATATTTTCTTTGGCATTTTTATAATCAACCTTCTTACAATAAGCAATACTACAAAAGTACCAATATTCTGATGAAGTAATTAAACTTGGACTCGTATTAATAAGTTGAATAACCTTGGTATATTTTGAAAATTTTAGTAAACATTTGCAATACCAAGGTTAGCGTCTAGATTTTCTGGAACTGCTTCATGTGCCATTTCATAGTTTCTTTGAGCATCTTTCCAATGACATAAACTATTTAGTCGATTGCTTTTATCTTCTTTTTCAGCTAATTGTTCATAGATGATTGCCATTGTATTATAAATATGTAATTTTTCTTGATTTGAAGAACAATATTGAAGTTTTTTGCTTAAATGGCTAATACATTCATGTTCTAAATAAGTAATTAAAGATAATTTAGATGATTCCTCAGGTGATTCTTTACACCACCAATGACCCATAATAAATCCTCCAAAACTTCACAACGCCATTTAGCTACGCTAATAAACTGTTAATTGAATCTCGAACTTCTTTAATAGTTTTAATAGCTCGCTCAATTTCTTCTTTACCAGCATCTAATATATCAAAAATTGCCTGATTAATCTTTGTAATATTACGCATTTCTTCTAACCTTGATTGAAAAGGCATTTCTTGGGAATCATCTTTATGTTCTTGAGCTATACTTTTATATTCTTCTAATGAGACAAAATCTCTAAATTTACTGAGCATACTAGCTATGTGGTTTTTCTCTCGTAATTCATGAATACGATCATCCAATCTTCTGGCTTCATTTTCAAGTTTTTCATTCAATACTCCATCAAAAGCTTTCATTGCTAGTTCTTTTAAATCTTTTGGTACTTTCCCTTTAATTTTAATTTTTCCACTACATAAGACTTCACCAAGTAAATTTAATAGATAGGCAATACCATCGGATCTAAAACCATAATTTAAAAGGGTATCTATTATATATTTAGTATCAAAAGTATCTTCACGTTTTTCTAATTTTAAGAGACATCCGTCTTTTTTAAATTCCTCAGAAAATGCATCAATAAATTTCCGATATTCTCCTTTATCATAAGCTTTTAATACATTGACCATAATCTCATTAAGCTTTTCACAAATTTTTGGCTCTTCTAAGAGTTTATTTCCTCTTTTCCATAAGTTTACACCAGCCCATATTTCTAAACCAAGAGCAAGCAATCCTCCGATAAGTGCAAATGGACCACCTCCTATTATAGCTACTGCCTCATAAATATTAAAGCAAGCAGCCACTGTTACTGATGTTCCCACAATCATCGCTCCTCCCATAGCCACAACCCCTGATGCTTTATATTTTAAAGCACAATTTTTGGCATGTAAAATTTCTTCTTGAGGTATTTGATAACGAACTAAACTCCGATCTGCTTTAAGCATTAATTTAATACTTACTTTTGCCATATCATTATTAATTGAATTTTGAATAGTCTTCTTGTCAAAAAAGGAGAATTCTTGATCAACTGTTTTTACTAAAGCAATCGTATGTTCAGATCTATCTTCTATATTGATCTCAGTATCTAATTCAGGAGTTTCTTCAACATCCACTGAATCATCATTCTCTCTAGTATCCGCCATAGGATCTCCATCCTTAACCTTATAAAATATTTTTTTTGCCCCAATAAAATCCTGTCACGTAACCTTTTGAGAATTTTTAAGATGCAGTTGAATTGCTGCTAAAGCATATAACTGAGCTTCAATAAACTTGTTAGAAATGTATAAACATAATGCCATATTTCCACGTAATTCTACTTGTTTTTTTAGATTTTTAGTACTATCAGCAATCTTGCAAGCTGCTCAATATTCTTGATATGCTAATACTGCTCAAGCTCTTTAATTTTTCAGAAGGAATTTCCTCAATATCCTCTTTTCTCAGAAGTCTCAGTTTACTCCATTGCTCCTTAACTGCATTACGATAATCAATTGCGATTTTCCAAAGCTTATTTGCATTTTTTTCATGAAAAGTCAGATAGCCTTCATTTTGTAAAATTTTCTTCAAATCATTCAACAAGTTATCTTTAAATTCTATTATCACAAAAAATAGTTCAGTACCCAAGTTTTTATGTGTCTCTTGAAGCCAAATTGAAGTATTAGGTCGATTCATTTTATCAGAATGGAAGTATAAAGCTAGTTCCCTAAACCGTTTGTTAATTTCTTCTTCTGTAAATTGAGTATTACTAAATAAGATTTCTTTTTTATTTGGAGAATTTAGAGCATGATATATAAAAGTTAATCTTTTTGAATAGGCTGCTTTAACAGCTAATGATTTTAAAATATTTAAAGAAGAAATCAATTTCTTATTTTCTTTGATTCTTGAAGTTTGATCTTCCGATCGCTTATTAGTATCTGAAGTCTGCGACTCATCCAGATCAATTAACGACTCATTGATTGGATTATTTACCATCTTATGTAAAATGTCTCATTACTAACGATATCCTTATAGTCTTCAAAAATTTTGAGCATTTCATTAAATTGTTTAAAATATGTCGAATAGTTTCTATAAATTTCTTTTCTAAAGTATTTTGGATAATTTTTATTTCTTTCTCTACGGCTTCTTGAATATTCTCTTCATCTCCTAATATAGTTTCCGTAAATAATCTTGAATTTGTTTTATAAGTATCTGCTAACTTTTTAGGTTTTTCAATAAATTTTTCAAATTTTTTTGCTAGATTTTCCTGTTTATCAGCTCGGTCTATTTTACCGTTAATTCTTAAATAATTAGCATATGTTGTGTCACTTGTGTGGTACTTATGGCTAAAAATTCCATATTCATTATCATCTTCTAGACAATTGATCAACTACTCCTTTACTTCATTAAATTTTTGTTCAATGTTGAATTGATTCAGAGTTTTATTATCCTGGTGTTTAACTAGGTTTTCTATTTCTAAAAAAAAAATTTCAATCTGAGAAATAATTTTTTTCAGCATTATGGATTTTTCTTAGGACTATTGAAATTCATTTGTCTTTTCTTATAAAATATTATACAAAAAAAGAGAAAAAAAGAAAGAAAAAAAAAATGCCGGAGAAAAAAATTTTCTAAAGAAATTTGAGGAACTTACGATCATCATTGCATAAGTACTGACTGATTGAATTTATTAACGTTAAGATTTTCATAAGCAATTTTATATGGACAAGTGTAACTGTTTTTTTTTAACTTACTAATTCAATTTGCTGTGTCATCGGAAAGCCTATATTATGTGTTTTTGTCCAAATAATTTGTGATTAGATCAAATGCGTTTAAATTAATAACGTTCTCTTTTTTGAAATCAAGTGTTAGTACATAATTATTAAGAATATACGACAATATCTGATTATTATATGATGTCATTGAACGGAGTTTTTTTCTCACAACATTTAAATTATAATTGGTAAAAAACAATAATTTTGTCATTAATAATTTAATTTTAGTAAAAGATTTGCACAAAATGCAGGCACATTTTTATTAGTACGCCCTTTCATATAATATAATAAAAGTTCGAATTACAATATACAGTACATGTAAGCACTTAACAAAAAATCAGGTAGTAACATAGATAAAAAAATTAATGTTATTTCGATAAGTTCGATTTATTTGTGATAATAAATTTTTTTTATCAACGATATTTTGAATATTACATCTCCTTTACAAATTCGTCAAAGTCATGATGCATTTTTACGTAATTTACGTAATTTGCAATCAAATTCACATCAACTAGTAAATAGTTACAATAATCATACAAGAAATTAATGGTCTGATCTGAGGTCGATATTTTTTGGCATTCTGGCTTGAGGCTCTTCCTCCAATAACATCGGAAAGATCATTTCATCATCACTATCTTCCAGAATATTCTTCTAAGATTTCATTATCAGATTCGTTATCATTGGACATAATATCTAAATCACAAGAAGCACGTGTTACACATTACTGCGTAAAATCTAAATTTTCAAAAACATTGAATTTATTTTACTTGCATTTTAAAATGTGTAACAACCGATTTTTAGTTTTTAAGTATGTAAAATAATTTATTATGTAAATAAATTTTCTTTAATGGATCATTTTTTTTATACCATTAAAAAAAAAATGTCAAAATTTCAATTCTGATATCACTTCTTGTTCGAAAGAAAATCTAATTTAGGTGCTGAAGCCTTTCTACCAACTTATTTATAGGATTCTCATCTGAAGCATCAAGCTTTTCTATATACTGATTGCCTAATTCTAGGAGATGAGGAACCCTTTCGCAATCATCCAGACTTATTGGCTCTTCAAACCAAACTTGCCATCGTTGATAGCATTTTCCCAATAAATTATACATTGAACGATCAGTATTGTTTTCTTGTTGTGGTAGAACTACTTTGTGAAGATTTTGTGCTCAAAAAAGACGATATAGATCAGAATTTAAAGGGTCTGACTGTCTCTGGCAAATAACTCCCTGTACCTAAAGAAAGAACAAAAATCTTTTCTTTTGCTGCATCGTATTGAATGGCTTTCTCATATGCTGCCATTGCTGGATTATTAAGATGTAAAGCTCCGTTTAGGAAAAAACCTCTGCCCTTTATCTCATAAGGTGGAAAAAAAGTGGGTGCGGCCGTTGTTGCCATTAAAGTATCATAAAAAGTATCATCTTTTGAATCATTACGACGTGTAAATAAATGCGTATGTGTTAAATTACTTTCATCTACTATAGGAATAACGAGTTCTGTAAGTGCTGTACTTAGATGCATATTTTCGAAATAAACAAAAAACAATGAACTGCGATCTTTGTTCGAATATCTTGGTTTGAACAACTAATGTCCATGAATCACTTTTGGCAAATAAATCTTTTATTTGATTCTGATAAAGATTTAATATATCTGAAGCTGAAAACTTGGGTATTAAATTTGAACATTGATAATACGGCATGTCTTCATTATAATCCATTTTCCAGGATGGTGCTGGTAGTCCAGCAGCAATAATCCCTCCAGCTGATCATATTAAATAGATGAGAAATGGGTCTATGGGTACGATATTCTATTTCACTAAATCATAAGGCGGTGACGATAAAAAGTCTATAATATCTTCTTGTAATATGTCGCTTTTAAATTCATATATTTGTTTCCAATATGGATCAAAGCCAATAAGAGGATTATATTTCATATCACTACTATTAGTGGAACCTATATTTTGAAAATGTGAATTAGTAATATTTGTTATCATTGTCTTATTATTGGAAAATTTGATTTCATCATTTTCAGTATATTTTATATGATCTAGTGTGATTTTTCGGAATGGTGTTCCAATATCAAGTTTAGCATTCTTTTATTGTTATTCTTGATATCATCATCTCTCCTATTAATGAATTTGGTGATTTGTTCAGTGTCACATGAAGAATGATCTTTGTCTAGTTGTGTACGAATCTTGGTTTCAAGTTGTGTTATTAATGCTATAATTCTGTCATGTTCAATTTTACTAGAGATTTCAAGTGGTAGCATGTGAATTAGATCTATTTGATTTAATGTCAATAATTTGACTAGCCATTTTCTTTTTTTTTCTAATGTTTGTTGAAAATGTTTAAAATGTCTTCAATATCAATATGATCACGTTCCTCCTTATTAAGATGTTTGTTGGCCTTGATAAAAGTAATCTTATCTTTTAAGATTAATCACTGGTCGAAATCAAAAAAATCGGACATATGGAAAATCAGCTAAAAATCAGACCAAAATCGACTGACATTACAAATCGGCACATCTGATTGATGCCAATCGGACAATTTAATGAAAATCCAGAAAAAAATCATTATATTTGATTGACGGCTGATTGAT